ATATATTTTCATTGCACTTGTTACTAATAAATGCCTATGCAAAAACTTTCCTGTGGGTATACTGCATGTGATGCAAAGTATGATCATATGGCCACAGCTCGAAATATTATTATGAAAGAAATAAGAAAGCCACCACATGTCTCATTTCACCCCAAACCGTAGGACAAAACGAGACAGTAGAAAAAAAAATGATTTACAACATATTCACGTCTGGCCGTTGCTAGAAGGGCATGCATTTGCGAATTGAGGGAAACTGGATACAGGATTGACCCCACTATTCCAACGCAAGACGTTGTTCGTAAAATGGCTGGGTTATGTTTTGTGATCCCTAGCTTATTCTTTTCCGCTGTTTCTACTAATTATGGCAGGGTGGGGTAAATTGAGACACGGGGCTAAACGCAACATTTTGATATGTCGGCTTTTGTAGCTAACGCAGCAAGTACTTTTCTTTCCCTCGCTTTTGCAGTGATAAGTGCTGGTAATTTTTCATAAGTAAAGTCGGTGACTGCTCGCAAAGTTCGCGGGGGAAAAATTATGCGGCTACTGTCAGCGTGATTACCAAGACACTAAAATGGACGAAGTAATTCCCCGCAGTACAGTGTCTGCAATAACGAACAGCAAAGATGCGGAATATGAATACTCCTTCTCGTGCTACCCGGACGCAGAAAGTTCTTGGTCTGCGACACAGAGATAGCGACAGTGGTTGCTCGGTTAATCAGGCATGCTGGCAATGGTTTCAAATGACGAAACCAAGAGGCTCATTCACGAAGTTGTAAAATGAGCTGATATGAACCAGACATCATTCGACCGTGAGCCTGAAGCAAAATATTCGAAATAGGGCTACGTCATAATAATTTTACGCCAGCACGGAAATGTCTTCCTCAAAACAAAAACGCAGTTGCAGTGAAAAAGGAAACGCACTGCGACTGTTGTAGTCACAGTTACCCTGAAAAGAAGGAAGACTTATCCGCCGAGTGTGAACCTAAACTATGCCTTAGAATCCCAATGGCATACCTGCCAGTTCGCTATTATCCTGCAATGTATATATTTCAATTCATTTCATTTTTATTTCCTTAAGGACCCCACTGGGGGGGTATTACACAAGGGGTGGATACACAGGAAAAAAGAACATCTGAACAAAATAATTTTCTCAGCACAGGTGATTTGTAACATTTGTCGCGAAGGATGATGGGCAGGTGGTTGAAGCAATGAAGCAGAGAAGGTCGTTCCAATCCTTGACGGCGCGCGGAAAAAAGAAGCGGGAAAAGTGGCAGTTCTGTTGCGATAACGGGATACTTGAAGTGGATGGCTTGTGCGGTGTGAAATGTATGTCGGGAAGAGGATGTAAGGAGCTGCATTGAGAGAAGAATGAAAAAATTTATGAAAGAAAGAAAGGGCGGCAATACGGCGGCGAACAGAGAGGGGTGATAAACCGGATTGTGCTTTCAAGAATGAAATGCTGATGTCGTATAAGTACTGGAAGTGAATGAATCGAACGGCGCGATTTCGGACAGATTCGAGCTTGTTAATGAGGTATGTTTGGGACGGGTTTCATATGGAGGAGGCATATTCGGGTTTCTATCTGATGAGGGACTGATATGCCAGCAACTTCACATAATTTGGTGCATGACGTAGGTGACGCTTCAAGAAGCCCAGAGTTTTATTTGCCGATGAAATGACGTTAGTAATATGCGCATTCCAAGTGAGATCGCAATACGATTTGACACCTAGATACTTGTAGGATGGTTGTGATTGTACAGGGACGTTGGCGATTTGATATGAAAAAATGAAATGATTCTTACGGCGGGTAAACGTAACAAGTTTGCATTTGTTAGGGTTAAGAGGCGAAAGCCAATTATCGCACCATTCTTGAATGTGGTTAAGATCGTTCTGGAGAAGATTTTGGTCGTGAGCGTTAGTTACTGTCCGATAGATTACACAGTCATCTGCAAACATGCGAGATTTTGCAGGATATTCTGAGGGGTAAGTCGTTGATGTATTTCAGAAACAGGAGGGGGCCAAGAACTGAACCTTGAAGTACGCCTGATGTTACTTTGAGGTAAGCAGAAGATTTATTTTTGACATGCACAAACTGAGAACGGTTAGCTAGAAATGCTTTGATTCAATTTAGTACACTTGGGTCTAAGTTTAACTGGGATAGTTTTAGCATTAGTCTTTGGTGGTGTACTGTGTCGAATGCCTTTGAGTAATCAAGAAAGATTGCGTCAATTTGTAAGTTGTTGTGAAGGTTAGCATGCAGATTGTGAAGAAATATCGCTAGTTGTGTTCCGCAGGAGAATACTTTCCTAAAACCATGCTGGCTGGGGTGAAAAAAGTTGTTGGAATCTAGAAAGTTTACAATCTGAGAGTAGGTGACATGTTCCCTGATTTTGCATGGGACGCTTGTTGAAGAAAAGGGACGGTAGTTCAATAGACAGTTCTTATCACCTGATTTGTAGATGGGAACGACCTTGCCCATGTTTTAGTCATCTGGAAGAATGCCTGTGGAGAGCGACTGCTCATACATCAAGCACAGAAATGGGGTGATGGTGTCATAGATATTTTTTAACACTTGATTGATTGATATGTATGGTTTAACGTCCCAAAACCACCATATGATTATGAGAGACGCCGTAGTGGAGGGCTCCGGAAATTTCGACCACCTGGGGTTCTTTAACGTGCACCCAAATCCGAGCACACGGGCCTACAACATTTCCGCCTCCATCGGAAATGCAGCCACCGCAGCCGGGATTCGAACCCGCGACCGGCGGGTCAGCAGCCGAGTACCTTAGCCACTAGACCACCGCGGCGGGGCTATTTTTTAACACTTTTGAATTAATATCGCTGACGCCACCTGATGAGGACAGTTTCATGTTTTGAATAATACTTGAAATACCACCTGTGCAAAAAACACTTGAGCACATAGAGGATGTCAACAGCACCGGGACGAGGAGGAAGGTATGCTAGATTCGTCAGTAAATACAGAAAAAAATGCGCTGTTAAAAGCATCAGCACATTGATCATCTGAGAGCGTGTGACTAGAATTATTAGTAAGGTGGATGGTGCTGGTAGACCGAGGGTTAACGATCTGCCAAAATTTACGTATGTTATCGGTTAGCATGCCTGGTAAATCCTGGTTCAGAAACGTGTATTTTGCGTTACTAATAGCTGTAGTATATTTTTTTTCGGCTGTGTTGTATTTCGCCGAATCTTCAGACGTCTCTTTTTCTTTTGCTGAGCGAAAAAGGCGCTTTTTTCTATTCGCTAGTCTCTTTAGTTTGTTTGTAAACCAGGGTTCCTGCGGCGTGCTACGGAATGATGTGATATACGCTGTTTCTCCGGAATAACCTGAAGCAGACACAGTGCGTAGTAACGGCTTCAGCACAGTTTTATTGAGCGTGTACTCAATATTGTACTACTTACTACTACTATCACTCAACCCAAAACTATACACTCGGTACACTGTTATGCGGGTACTCCATTATGTTTAACTTGCGCAGTTCAACTGCCCCAAGCTCAATATGTCAATGCAGCAGTGACAACACGTCACTGAGTCCGGAAGTTTTAAAATAAAAACTGGCCAACTTCTTTCTCTGTTACTTCTCTATGTACAAGTAGAAAGCTTGCAGTAGAAGAACTAAAATTACATATTTTGTAAATTTTTATTAGGAAGCAATAGTTCTTTAGTATTGTTTACGTGTTACCGCGAGTAGAAGGCACCAGACAGAAGTTTATGGCTACAGCTAAGTGTTCCTGTTTTAATGCAACTTGTAAGGCTGAATTTACGTAGTGGCATGAAGGGCGTCTAGACGTTTAATTAGTTCGTGACTTCATAGTTCGTAGCAACAATTAAGGCCTTCTGTAAATTGTACTATTTCTATCTAATCAATAGATATGAGCTGACACAAAAGAACTCATTTGGTAACACATACATTAGCCATGGATAACCAATAATACACTGTGACATGTTGCATGTGCATGTGCTACTTTAGACCATGACGACATATGAGAGGCATCGGCAGTCCAGGTTTGACTTTCTAAAGCTTCCTTCAGTCAAGGTGTGCTTTGTCTCAAATATTTGGTAGGACAGACGCTGAAATTTTGTATATTGCCATTTTTTCAGTAGTTCCTAAATGGCAACTGTTTTTCAATAATACCATTCGTGACTTCAACGAATGGTATTATTAGTTCGTGACTTCATAGTTCGTAGCAACAAGGCCTTCTGTAAATTGTACTATTTCTATCTAATCAATAGATATGAGCTGACACAAAAGAACTCATTCGGTAACACATACATTAGCCATGGATAACCAATATTACACTGTGACATGTTGCATGTGCATGTGCTACTTTAGACCATGACGACATATGAGAGGCATCGGCAGTCCAGGTTTGACTTTCTAAAGCTTCCTTCAGTCAAGGTGTGCTTTGTCATAAATATTTGGTAGGGCAGACGCTGAAATTTTGTATATTGCCATTTTTTCAGTAGTTCCTAACTGGCAACTGTTTTTCAATAATACCATTCGCGACTTCCAATAACCAACCTAGTATCATTTCTCATGTGGGTATTTGCACCATTAAACCCATTTTTGCCGAGCATTGTAGGCAATGCGGCATAAAAAAAAGGTGCTTCGTGTTGTTGATATCAACCACTTCGACATCAAAATTGCGTCACTCCTGGACAAAATGAGACGCCGAAGCCGGATGCCTATAAAACGTCTTCGTGTGAGTAGAAGGCTTGTCCAAGAGTCCTCGCAGTGAGTTCGTGACGTCTACACACGCCCTTAAGCTGGCAAACGCTAGACAGGCTCGTCACCCTGAAGATGATGTCTGCTTGTTTGCGGCTTTGGGACACTCGTAATGACCACCGATAAGACTACGTAGGTGAAACGAAAGTAGCTCCATACGATAAGGATTGCCTTACACGACGTCACAGCTATTGCTCTTTGCAACGTGAGACGCGGACGCCATTTCCGGCGCGTATAAAAGGCCGCTTAACGGTATGAGTGGATTGTCGAGGTAGCTTAAAGGATAACAGCACCGCGCTTCCAGAGAAGCGCCGACCCGACCTGAGAATGGGAGCCCCGCGCGTTGTTGCGTGCTTACTCGCAGTTTTCTTCCCAGCCATTTGTCAAGGTACGTGAGCCTCTGCATAAGGAACAATGACGCTTTAGGAGTGAAAAATAAATACCCAGGAAATTCTTGTTGATTATGAGATTGAAGCAAGGCCTATAGTTATTTTTTATGTTGCTGAGGCCAATATGTTTCAACGTCAAAGTGTGGAGCACGAGACTAGCTTGGCACCTTTAAGTCATCTTTAAGGCTCGTGTGTGCAACAACATTAAGGAAACATGTAGCGAATAAATTTCACTTACACTGTAGAAGGAATATGTCGCGGTTGTAAATAGCCACATGTTCCATAACTTGTGGTACCATAGAACTTCAACAAACTGACTGTGCATGTTTCACGCTTCCATTGAACATAAGAACCGTAATTGTGTCTCCTTTCAGCTCACTTTTTTTACTTTGTCTACCCCTCTTTTGTGGCCTAGTTAGATTTTGGAACTTGCATCTGTACCTACACTGCGCAGCGGAAATGTAGTGCGTGTTTTACAAAATACCCTTAGTTGAAACCATCAACTAGAATATGGAAATTGTCTATCTTTTAAAACACACTAGGCTCGTCATAATACACTAGCATGAAAAAGTTTTATTACGCATAAGCCAGTTAGGCTTATGAAAAATATGTTACAGAACTCTAGTTCTAAGACGTTCCTTCAACTTTTTTGTAAAAATAAAACTTCGTGTTTTTAAATGAATGTATAATTTGCGGTAATGTTTATAACCCGAAGAACAGTTTCACGTGTGATATGTATTTCGCACAGCCTGCACTGCTTTTTGCTAGTGAGCAATGATGTAAGTGTCGCCAATACTCCCTATACATACAAGTACGCATTGTAGCACATTAGCTTCATGGCAGCTTGCCACTGCCATGTATATATATGAATGAATTCATGCAAACTCATTTTCGTCACAATTTCCAGTGAACAATTGTGTATCAAAGAATAATTACCTTGATTATCATGCTGATAAGGCTGAGCCAGAAGTGATATGGGAGATTTGACAGATTTTGTGCATTTTGCGTTCACTTACCCCCAGTGAAGATGCTGCTTCTCCGAAAAATATTGCAGTGCTGAAAAACGGGATCACTTTTTTCACTTAGGTCAGCAGTACTGGGGTGGCTACGGTTGGAGATTTGTGAGGCACCCTTTAGTTAATGAAGCATGTGAACGCGCCTACCCTGTGGACGAGGTAAGCAATCGCTTCACTCTTTATGGGTTATCACTTTACCTCGGAAGTGCTTCATATGTTATTGGTTAGCAACTTAAACCTAAAGTGAGCCAGTGGAAGTCTTTATAGTGAGACTGCTTCTAGATGAGATTCCTGCTACGTGGGTTTAGGCTTTGCAAGCTCTCGATCAAATTCTAGGGGGTCTTCCGTACATAACCATAGAACTTCAGACGCTGTCGTTGGCGTGCGTCATGGTCATTCTGTTGGAAGGGATGTTACCCTAAAAGGTAGCAAGCGTGAATCATTGATATTGCCTCTAATATCAAAATATAAATGTGGGCGAAGTGCGAGATTCTTTCTTGAAAGGCAATAGGAGACACACATGGACAATGAATGCACTTTTCAAGTCCTCGCCGCGGTGGTCTAGTGGCTAAGCAAATACTCGGCTGCTGACCCGCAGGTCGCGGGATCTAATGCCGGCTGCGGTGGCTGCATTTCCGATGGAGTCGGAAATGCTGTAGGCCAGTGTGCTCAGATTTGGGTGCACGTTAAAGAACCCCAGGTGGTCGAAATTTCCGGAGCCTTCTACTATGGCGTCTCATAATCATACCATGATTTCGGGACGTTAAACCCCACATACCAATCAATCACTTTTCAAGTAGACGTGGTGACATAAAACAATAATAACACGGGGATCAATGGTCAGAAGGGGCGTTTTTCGGTTGAGTGATCTTTCTGGCATTATGCTTAGTTTTTCTTTCCTTTTTGTTAGTTATAATTTCGCACAGTAAAATAACTGTGGTAATATAAACTTAATACTGCTTATGTCTGAAAAAAATACCAAAGGAAAAAAAAGATGGACATCATCTGCTGGGTGTTCTCGAGGAGAGTAGCACAGAAACAGAATTAAGTAAAAGAAATTTATCAAAAGGCATTTTATTAATATGTCACCTACGCTTTGCCCAACCGGCTGCTACTGCAGTCACTATTGAAGGTATTTACAATTTTAAGGTTAAGCAGGAGTTCCTACCACAGATTAAGGGATCCAGAAAAACTAGTTCTATTCAATGAACTCGTTTTATCTTTTAATGTATAAATGTATCACTATTTCACTTTCTATTTATTTCTCAAGCAACGAATGAATTCTAATTATAATGCTACATTTAGTTGATTGACACTATGTTTTCAAACAGGCTACTGCAGTAAGGGCCACATGCCGGTACCCCTGTCAAGGCTGGCCTGTTCGTTACGCTAATGAGCAAGATGGTACTCCATGTCAACTGGTGAGCTACGTTTAGACATAATTTGTGACACTACATTTCCGAAAATCCCAGCAATCATCTGCATATGCTGTACTTCCCGGTAATTCAGTTAGCACTCTATAAAACGGTTTAGGAATGTTTTAATTGAGCGTAATAAAAGGGCTGAATTTCTTATTCTCCATGGCTAAATAACCCTTAATAAGTCTTCATGAGTCCAACATTGGACAAATGCACATTATGAAGATTATTTGCACAGCCGCTTCAAGTAAGCGCATTTTGATAACCTGCTTAGATGCAAGTAAATGAGGTTTGTTTCTTTCAAAATATCGGCGGCTTTCAATATGGACCTACTCATCTATTTATTCACTTGATTTATCTAATAAACATTTTGTTTCTGTCTGTACTCTGTCAACGTTCGCTTAACTGACATATGTGTGCAATTCTAGTTACAACGTCTATTTATTTTCTTTCTCTTTCTCTCTCCTGTATTTTTCATACCCTACTCTCTAGACCACTATTTAAAAATGAATTTCGAATGTCACAGAGAAGAAATGTTGAATATCTCATACATAATCGTTTTCTCTTGAACACAGTCATGGTGGCAACAAGGAGTTTGCTTCAGAGGTCGTTGCAAACGACAGTACCTGGTGCCTTCGATACCTTCAGTGCCAAAAGATGAAGAGAACAATGTTCAAGGTAATGATTGACCTATATAGCCACTAAACAACCTTGGTAAAAATGTCTAGATCAAAATACCACGTTGTGCTTGCTCCATGCGAACATCCTGCCGCAAGAAACACTCATATGGGAACATTATTCAAAAGGTATTAGACAGACAGACAGACAGACAGACAGACAGACAGACAGACAAAGAACTTTATTCGGGTCCTGAGGAACTGCGTTGTAACGGCCCCATTTAAAGGGAATCCGTAGCAGTCGCGGGCCGCTCCCACGTAGGGACCGGAAGACCGTGGCCCTCCGCCCTCTCGCAGGCCCTCTAGACAGCCCGAAGTTGAACCAAGAGGTCGCCGCTGTTAAGGGCTTCCTCCCAGTCCTCTTCTTTGTTGAAATCTGCGTCACGTAACGCAGGACATTGCCAGAGCATGTGAGGTAATGAGAAATACGCCTCTCCACAGTCCGGACAATGCGGCTCGATGTTGGGCGAAAAATGACTGAACCTGCCTCGCGAAGGGAAAGACCCCGTTTGGAGCATCCTGTAGGCCGATGATTGCGGTCGCGTAAGTTTAAGATGAGGAAGTGGAAAAGCCCTCCGAGATAGATGATAATGAGTCATGATCTCGTGGAAAGTGAATAGCGAGTCACTGTATCTTCCGGCGTCCCCGCCTACGAATCCGCCGGGACCGCCGCGGTGAGCGATACCTCGCGCACGGTCATGGGCAAACTCATTGGCGTTGGGGACATCAGGATGTATTTTGGCCCCCATGTGGGCCAGGAACCATGTTATGGTGTGAAACCCGGCAGCCCCCTCACAGCCGAGGATGGCCGCTGCCTTACGCGAGATCGAGCCCGAGGCGAAAGCCCTAGCTGCGGAACGCGAATCTGTAAAGACATTAGGACGCGATTGGTCCTTCATTGCTATGGCGATGGCGATTTGCTCAGCCACAATTGCCGAAACCTTTCTAACCGAGGAAGAGCATAGGAGTGTGCCACTATGATCGACCGAGACCACTGCGAAGCGATCCGAACGCCCGTACTGGGCTGCATCGACAAAGGTTGCGAGATGCGGTCTGTTTGCAACTGATTTTAACAAGGAACGGGCCCGAGCTATGCGGCGCCCTACATTGTATTGTGGGTGGACATTTCTTGGAAGTGGAGCTACCGAAAACGTGCCTCTGATCGAGGGTGGTAGTGTTACATTACGCTGGTTAGTCGCCGTAGGACCGCAGCCTATGGATTCCATGATGCGCCTACCAGCCCTCGAGGACGATAGTCGCACGACCTGAGCCATCTGCTGGGCCTCGATCACCTCCGAGAGGAAGTTATGCATGCCCCATTGTAGGAGCTTCTCGGTGCTAGTGTGGATAGGCAAGCCTAGAACTCGCTTTATGCTTTTGCGCATTAGTGTATCAATTCTTGCCTCTTCTCTTTTAGACCAGCGCAACGCCGAAGCGACATAATTAATGTGGCTCATGAGAAATGCATGATACAGCCGAAGGAGATTGCTCTCGCTCAGCCCACCCCTGCGGTTCGAGACCCTGAGTATGAGCCTAAGCATGTTCTCCGTCTTGGAGGTGATGCGGGCTTATAGTTCGTGAGTTGCCCCCTTGAACTCTAGCAGGAGTCCGAGGACCCTGATGGAGTCCACCCTGGGTATTTTCTGCCCATCCCGTGTGTATAAAGCTATGGGAATCTGTTCTAAAGGAGTGAGGTTCCTCAGTCCTTGTCGGGTGGGTCTGTATAGTAGTAACTCAGACTTTGCCGATGACAGGCTCAGGCCCGAATCGACTAGAAAGTTCTCCGTGATGTCTAATGCCTCTTGAAGCGCCTGCTCTACCTTGGCGTCGGACCCTCCCATGCACCACACGGTGATATCGTCCGCGTAGAGAGCATGGTTAACCCCACGCACCGTTGCGAGCTGCTCCGAGAGGCCCTTCATGGCAATATTGAAGAGTAGAGGAGAGATGACTGCCCACTGTGGGGTGCCTCTCGCTCCCAAGGTAAATTCCGTGGATTGCATTTGACTGATCCTAATGGTAGCCCTGCGATCCCTGAGAAAAGGCCTAACGTATGCGTGGAACCGTTGTCCTAGACCCATAATTGAAATTGCCTCAAGCACAAACTTGTGCGAGATATTATCAAAAGCTTTGGCTAGGTCTAGAGCTAGTATGCCTCTAGTATCCCTGGTGTTGTTGTCAATGATTTGTCTTTTGATAAAGAGCATCACGTCCTGTGTGGATAGTGCAGGTCTGAATCCTACCATATTGTGTGGAAATAGCTCTCTGTTTTCTATGTACTCGGATACCCGATGGTGAATTGCATGTTCGGCCACCTTGCCTACGCAGGACGTAAGCGAGATGGGTCGCATGTTCCCCAAAGCCAGAGGTTTGCCTGGCTTTGGCATGAGCGCTACCGAAGCTGTCTTCCAGGATTCGGGGACGTGCCCCGTCTCCCAGATCTTGTTGACTTCCTCGGTAAGCTTCTCGATGAATTTGCCATCCAAGTTAAGTAAGAGCTTATTTGAGATTCCATCCGGGCCCGGTGCAGAGCGTCCGTTGAGCTCGTGGAGGACCTTACAGATTTCTGGTTCAGTGAAAGGTGCGTTCAGCTCCGCCACCATTCCACCCCTGTATTGCGGATAGTTCGCATCGCCGGAAGGGCCCAGCGGAAGATAGCTGTCCGCTAACCTCTTCAGGAGGGCCTTTTCGGACACTCCCTTCGCTTTTTGGTTGTGAACAATTCTGTCAATAGCCAAACGCGGATTTCCCTTCGACTGTGACTCATCAAGTAATTGTTTGAGGAGGTTCCATTTGGCCCCCACTCTTATCTGTCCGTCAACCGAAGAACATACTTCATTTCACTGCTGTTTGGAGAGTTTAATAGAGTAGGCTTCGATCTCGCGATTGAGTTGCGCAATTTTCTTTCGAAGTCGGCGATTGAGTCTTTGCGTCCTCCACCGGGACAGGATGAAATTCTTAGCCTCTAAGAGATGCGCGAGGCGTGCATCCATTCGATCAACCCTCAGGTTCGTTTTGACAACCTTGGTCGCAGCATTAGCATCCTCCTTGAGCCTTGCAAAGAGGCTGTCTAAGCTGTCGTATTCATCCTGGTCCTCCTTCTGCAATTTACGAAAGGCATCCCAGTCCGTTACTTTAAATTCCCTGGCGGGAGCTGCATTGACTGCTAGGGTAATAGCCACTATGAAGTGGTCGCTACCTAGATTCTCTTGCAAATTTTGCCACCTTGTTCTGGCGACGTTCTTGACGAACGCCAAGTCTTGAGTTGTGTCTCGGACCACCGATGTGCCAATTCTTGTCGGGTATTGCGGGTCCGTAATCAATTCAAGAGAACAGCTAGATACGGCCTTTAGGAGGTTGTTGCCTTTGGGGGACTGCCTGGCATATCCCCAAGCGTCGTGCGGAGCATTAAAGTCTCCCGCTACCACGATGGGGGCCCCCCTGGCCAGAGCCACCGCTTTTGCCATGATCGAAGCGAACCCCTGCCGCTTGTCCGACGGCGAGCTGTACACATTCAGGAGGAATACGCTGTTCTTGAGCCAGCTGTTGGGGATTATTTCGAGGATAATGACCTCAGCCTTGCTGTTGCCAAGCTGTAGTTTGTGTTCATGAAAGGAGCACTTTTTTGCGACCAAGGTTGCCAAACCGCGCTTCCCTTGCTCGCGCACCGAGACGACTCGATAGCCCGGGAAAATTAGCGCATCACCGAGAGTTTCCTGTAACATAATTATGTGCGGTTTGACCGCCTGAGAAGCAATAAAGTGCAGCAGTGGAGCGCTGCGCCTTTTAAAACTGGCACAGTTCCACTGCCACACGACCAGTTCATTAGTGTTGTCCGCCATAATTACTGTTCTGAGACAGCCAATCTCCTGTCGGGTTGACTGTTACCGCGCCTGCAGGCGACTGTGCCCTGTTCGGGCCTTTCGGAGGTGAGCTACCCGTAGCTAGCGCTGCCTGTGTACGTTCAAGAGACGACACCCTTTTCGGTAGGGTAGTCATGTTATCAGCCAGTTGTTTAATCGATTGCTGCATGCTTTCCAGAGCCTTGCTGTTGGATTCTGTCTCCATAGCATCCCACTCCCCTTGGGGGGTGAGGCCCTACGTTTTCCCGAGCGCGCCTGCACGTCCCCTGGTGGGGGAATCTGTTGTCTCTCACCCTGCGAGGAGTAATGTTTGCGGAACGACTCAAGGTCAGCCCTCAGCTGTTGAATCTCTGCCTTAAGGCAAGCATTTTCTTGGATCAACTTAGCTACCCTGGGGTCTTCCCTATGCTCTGGCAATGGTACCTGCGTTACCTCTGGTAGCGGCGCCGCCGGCTTCGGCTTGGCTCGATCCGCCCAGGTAGGTACTTCCTGGATTCGTGCCCGGGAGTAAGAGCGCCCTTTGGTGCGAGCGCGGCCCCTGGAGCGGTCGCGCCGGCGGCCAGCCGGCGTGACGGAACGCTCCTGCCTGGGAGCACATGCCACGCTGGAATCCCTTGACCGGTCTTCTTCGGCGAGCTGTTGCTGAGACTTTTTGACGCGCTTTCGGCGCCGTCGTCTTCTCCGTCGCACGACGTAAGGAACTTGAAAGCGTTCTTTGCACGTTCTGTCCACCGTCGGATGTGGGCCTCCGCAAAGGGCACATTTCGGCGAGCACTGGTGATCGTCGGGTGGAGACACGAGCCCACAGCCCCTGCACACCCTCTTGTTGGGGTTGGGGCAAACATCGGCCCTGTGACCAAGTCCTCCACACGCGTAGCACACGTCGGTTTGGCGCTTGTAGAGCGTGCAGCGCAGCATGCTGATGCCGCATATGACATAGTTTGGTACCTTCATGCCGTCGAAAAGCACTACCACAGTGGTGGTGTTCTTGACCCTTTTGGCTTCTAGGGCCTTCGAATTTCGCTGGTTGACGATCATCGTTTGGAGCTGGGCCTCGCTGATGTCAGTGTCCACTCCTCGTATGACTCATTTACAGGTGTTATCGGGGGCCGCGACATATGCCGCCACATGGTACATT